TGCCTTAAACAAAGAGCACTCTCACTCTCAGGGCAGTTTGGGCAGCACCGCAAACTTTTGTCAAGACTCTAGTTTTTAACTGAGTGAAACAATGTAAACAATGTGAGATCTCTCAGATGGGCTGAGTGTAACAATTTCTTAGACTGTTGCAAACTCGAGGTTGGTTACACTAAACCTGAATAGGCCTAAGTTTCAGGTTCCTAGAAATCACATGATTTCTATTGTTACATCAGCATTAGGTAATGGCTAATTACTAAATAAGGATAAATAGCTAGGATTGGTAGCATTATAATGTGGTTTCTTGTTTCTGGGGTAGATTGTCACGTTTTAGATTGTAAGGCTGAAATTCCTGTCCAATGGGAATTCAAAGCCAGTGGTGGGTGGGTATCTCTGCGTTAGGGCTATATAACCTTTGTTCTGGCCTTTGTGCCTTGCCTCCCGATGAAGCAGACGCTCGCTCGCTTCTTGCGAGCATGTAATAAATCTTTCACTTTATACTTAGAAAATCTCTGAGTGTTATTTTTGGACAGCTGTACCACACCCTTTCATCTGAACTGGTTTGGATATGGCTAATGTGGGAATTTGTTTTATATGGCTATACATATTTGTAATGGGTTTTGTTTTTCTTGCCTACTCAATAGGTAGGGGAAGGATTGACGGGAGGAAGGGAATTTGGAATTGAAAATAATATAAAACTGAATTTAAAGCAGAAAACAAAATGTGGTTAACAAAATATTTTTTAAAAAACAATTTCACAGATACCACATTATGAACTTCCCCTTAGATCAACACAAGAGTTAGTGTTCATAATGCATTTCAGCTTTAGGCATGGAATTAAGGCATCATCTTCTGGACTTGGAAATGTCTCATCATCAGGCCCAAGAATTGTAGGAAATCTGTCTCTTCTGCATTTTTTGTTATGAGCTAAGCTGAAAAATCAGAAGTACAACATTTAAAGTTTCTGGTTTGTTGCTTTTTTTTTTCAATATAAATCCACTTTCAGAGAGAGAAAAAGGAGAGGTCTATTCTGTAAGTAGATTCAGATGGGAAATCGAAATTCCTTAATCAAACCAAGAAAATTCAAGAAATAAGAATATTTTGTCACCCTAGACAGACATCATTTTTATATCAAATATTACTTCATAATCCCAAAGGACAGATTTTCTCCCTAACTTCCTAGTCCATTCCCTTTATTCCAGGGGTATTTCACAGAATCACAGAATATGAGATATGGAAAGGACTGCAGCTGCTCCAACCCATACATGGAAGAAATCTCTAAAACAACATACCCAAAAAGTAGTCATCTAGCCTCTCCTTAAAGACCTATAAGGAGGGATAATTTACCATGGCTCAAGGCATTCCATTTCTGAATAGCTCATTAGGAAATTTTTCCTAATTATTAACAATTTTATATCCTGTGAAAGAATATTTATGAGTTCCAAGCCATAGGAATAAATAACTTCCCCAACTGCCCAGGCTTGAGCCACCTCTATCTAGGCACGGATCTCAAAGGCTATATGTTTTTACAATCTACAAATGAAAATTACATGAACACATGGCATCACCCTATTGTTCCCCTTTACATCCCTCACCCCACATGAGAACTCATACTGGAGCAATACTAGAAGACAAAAGCACAAGGGTTTTAATGCCATTCTACCAGCTTATCTTCTCCATCCTCAGCATGAGTCCCCCTGCGCAGAAAAGGGAATTTTAACACTTTGTACCTCTTTAGATGAAGGATCGGAGATTCTTGTTTGTTTTTAATAAAGGCTTCATGAAGTTGAGACAATGATGTCCTGTAGACATCTTAAACTTAACATGTCCAAAACTTTTCACCAAACTCCTTCCCTTTCTGAACTTCAATATATTACTATCCTCCTAGGCACTCAAGCTTGCAATCACTCTCATCCCCCCATATCCAATCTGTTGCCAAATCCTGTACGTTCTACCTTCACAACATCTCTCATGTACACCCCCTCCTTTCTTCTGACACTGCCACCACCCTGGTGCAGTCCCCTACCAACTCATGTCTGGTCTATTGTAATAGCCTTCTGATTGGCTTCCTTGCCTCAAGTCTCTTCCTAATTCAGTCTGTTCTCCTCAAGCTTAGATTTGACCTTGTTGCTCCCCTATTCAATAGACTTGTGCCTCCAGCAATAAATATAAAATCATCTGTTTGGCTTTTAAAGCCCTTCATAACCTGGCCCCCTCCTACTTCTCCAGTCTTCTTCTACCTTACACCACCATGTACTCTAGGATCCAGTGACTGTCACACAAGACATTCTAGCTCCTGATTGCATTTTCACTGGTTGTCTCCCAGGTCTGGAATTCTCTCCCTTCTCACCTCTATCTCCTAGCTTCCCTGGTTTCCTTCAAGTCTCAGTTAAAATTCTACCTTTTGCAAGAAGCCTTTCCCAATCTTCCTTACGTCTCTCTGAGATTATTCCCAATTTATCCTGTATGTATATTGTTTGTACATAGTTGTCTGCATGTTGTCACCTCCCATTAGATTGTGAGCTCCTTAAGGGCAGAGGCTGTTTGTTTTTGCCTTTGTATCCCTAGGACTTATAACAGTGCCTGGTACGTAGTAGGCATTTAATAAATGCTTGTTGACTTGCCTTGATCAGGTGACCTGGTAGTTTTGGAGTCCTAAAAATTCTGGGTGGAGGCTTTAGCCAGCAAGTCTCTGAACTGCATCCTTACCCCCAGATTCCTAATTAAATGAATGGACAGAAAAAGAAGATTACATTTGTATTACTTATCACAGCAGGGATTTCCCCTCACTACAGTGGCTGTCAATGGGATAGTTTTGGCTTCTGCTCTGAAGTGTTTTAAGTCTTCCCATGTAGCAGCACTCTACCAAGGCTTCCACACATCAAAAAAAGAAAGAGGGAATTACAACATGCAATCAGTTAGGGACCTCTACTGAATAAGGCAGGTCATTGAATTGGAAAGGCTGTCATTTGCTTTCTCTGGAGCCAAGAAAATTCTCCATGAGTTTTTAAACACTTGCTTTCTTTGGAGCCAAGAAAACTCTCCATGAGTTTTTGAACCACCTTCTGCCTCTTTTTTCTGGGATTTAGCCTCTGGCATGTGTTCCAAGTGTAAGGATACAATGGCCGTTTTTCTTTGGAGCTCAGAAGTTCAGGTGGTCTTGCTGGGAAAGGCAAACTCCCTCCACCCCTCTCCCCCACCTAAATTTTCAATTAAAGGGAACTACAGTACAGTGCACACAGTAAGGGCTTTCCTAATTTTACTGAATTGTATTCCTGTGCATTACTGCCCAATGGAGGATTTAAATCTTCACTGGAGTATGTCTGACTTGATTTATCATCAAGTAAATACTTGTGTGCCACGGAGAGTGGAATTTTCTGGCAGTAAAAAATAGCTATATTTGTCTTAAAAAAGAATTTTTAAAAATATCCTTTGTTTCCCCCTCTGGGTCATGCCCTAGATTTGTCCTTATCTTGTACATTTCTAATCCCAGCTCTAAACTGGTTTTCTATCCTGACCTAATGCATCAGTAAATAAACCTCCCCCTTATTTAATGTGCCACTCTTCAGGAGAAAACCTACGAAATAAACCCGCTCTCAGGCCAGCTATCCTGAGTGCATAAAAACTACTTTACCACAGGAAGGACATATTAGGGTATAACCTATATAAAAGTTGGCAATTATCAGTATATAGATATATGTCCAAATTAGGATAATAGTATCATACATTTACAGCTAGAAGGTACAGCAGCTAACTTTTACATAGAGCTTACTATGTGCCAGGCACTGTGCTAAGGACTTTACAATTATTATCTCATTTTATCTTCACAACAAACTTTTTAGGTGCTATTATTGCCCGTTTTACAGATGAGGAAACTGAGATAAGTAGAAGTGAAGTGACTTGACAAGGGTCACACGGCTAGTGTCTGATACCACATTTGAACTCAAGTCTGCCTGACCCTAGATCTGGCACTTTATCCATTGCACCACTTGGCTGCCCTATTTTAGAGGTCATCTAGTCTAGCTACCTCATTTATAACAGAGGAGGAAACAGGAACCCAGAGGGATAAAACTGACCTGCCCCAGGTCACACAGGTAGAAAATTTTAGTTAGGTTCAAATTCAGATCCTTTCACTCCAGGTTTTTGATATCTCTACGAAGTCACTCGAGTCCAACTCATTTTGGATACCGCTCTTTATCTCTGGCTATCTGAGGTATATGTATTATTTTCCTATTTTCACTCAGTTTCAGGTCTGAGCTGGGCTTTCATCAGGCCTCTTGGATACTGAAAGTTGCAGGTAACCATGTCAGCTTCCCCAGTTCTTATGGTCATTGCAAAAAGACTACAATCCCAGGCCTAGTTTTCCTGAACTTCCCATGGCAGAACTATATGGCTCTAATGGAGTTGTTTCCTTCTAAATCATTCTTGTTCTGTTATTCACTTTTTCTCTCTCTATCTCCCTTTTCTATGGACCCTTACTGCATAGCTAGTTTACTGCACAGTTTATTGTATAGTTAGGCCCTGGAACCTATCAGTCTAATTATTCTTTTGCTTAAATATTACTTATTACTAACTCATCAAATATTAATACTTAATTCTACTGATTTAGCACATACAAGCACTCATTTTACAGTTTAGGAGCTAGTAGGCCCTGGGACCCCAATATGTAGGAGGCAATATGACAACGAGTTTGTATCTCCACTTTTTATCTCTTCCCTTTTTTGCTGAGCTTTAGTATCCTCATCTGTAAAATGGGGACTATAATAATACCACTCCAAATCTTATAGGTATTTTGTCAGGAAAGCACTTGTTAGCTATTACAGTGCTGTCATAGCATTTGGCGGCATCCTCCCAAGTCACATTCTATGTCCCCTGCATAAGTTCACTCCAGGTACTGTGTGAGTCTGCATTCACCCAAAGTTATAGGTCAGGAGTCCCCATCAATGTATTTACTTTTAATACTCAGACAAAGGACAAAATTAGTTCAAACCAAAGGCATTTATTGAAACCATTTAGTAAGACAAGTAGCAATAAAGGATTTTCCCCATAAATCTGAGCATATTCTCCTACCAATGCATATAATAATGGCGAGAAAAGTATATACACATGGCGAACAGAGAACAGTCATGTACATAGAGAATGTATATGGCTGGATCACATATGTGGAAGGGTACACAAATTGGTAATATATGTGACCAGGTTCATAGTACATATCTAAGTGCAGGTTGAAATCACATAAAATGTATATTCTTAGTTATCATTATCCTATCTACCTCAGGTTTCAGTCTTTATCCCTTCTCTAATGCTCCTCCTTTCCCGCTCATTCCCAACAACCCCCATCCTTTTTATTATCCTTAGAATTGTTAAAAAAAAAATCTCAGCTCATTCAAGCAGAAGTCCATGAAGCAATTAGTTTCATGTGTCACATAACTGCCAAAGTCCCTACTCCCAATGCAGTGATAGGTGTGGTTGTACTTCTTATCAAACTCCTCGTTGATGTGTTATGTCCTCCTCTATGTTATAATTCTCCAGGGCCTGAGTAGAACATTTCACAGAGTCCTGCTGTATTTTCTCTTACATGTCTACATGTTTTCATATGTCCTTGCAGTCACATATCCTTTTCTGTGGGTTGGGAGGCTGCACTGAATCCTGGCAGGAAGAGATGGCCAGTGGCCCCTTGGGCATCTTCAACATCTATTTTTTAAAATAATGATATTTTATTTTTCCCCAATTACATGTAAAAACAATTTTTAACATTTTTTAAAAAATGTTTCAAGTTAAAATTCTATTCCTCTCTCCCCCGTCTCCCCATTCCCTGAAATGGTAAGAAATCTGATATAGGTTATACATCAACAACTATTTATTAAGTATCTATTATGGGCAAGGCACTTTGCTAGGCATGAGGAAGGCCCAGATGGTTTAGTAAATAGAACAATTGTTCAAGTCCTACCTCAGATAAACTTGTCAGCCTAATTTTTCCTTATCTGAAAATTAAGATAATAATTCCTACTTCACTGGGCTTTTGTGAATTTCAAATGAGATAAGTATTTTTGTAGAAGCCTGAACCTGTGTTTTTTTGGTATAAGGAGTTCCCGGGTAGGAAACTACCTATACCAGCGCAGACAGTCTTAATTAAACAGCTGCCTAAGATGTAACTGCCTTCATTAAACACCTGTACTGCAATGTTAAGCGATTGGCCCAGGGTCACTATGCCAGTAAGTGTCAGAGGAAGGACCTGAACAAGATCTTCCTGGCTTAGAGCTAGCTCTTCATCTGCTATGTGGCACTGCCTCTTATAAAGTGTCCTGTAAACTTTCTAAAGCACTAGATAAATATGAGTTAACTGTGACAAATTTTAAAAGAAACATCACACAGATAGAAGTTTTCAGTCATATGTAGGTGGAAAACACAAACACATTCGTAAAGAGTGTTGTTTATGTGATTGTTCAGTAGTATTCATTGTGTCAAAAAATATAGCAATAATTTTTTTTAAAGTAAGACAAATATACAAATAACTATGAAATAAGGGAGAATGAGGTAAGTGCTATGGAAATGTTCAGGCTTTGAGAAATTTGAAGAGAAAGATTTCTTTCTGTTTGAGATGTCAAGGAAAACTTTATAAAAGAGATGGCACCTTACTGGATGTGGGAGGTAGGGATATTTATAGTAAGGATGGACGGTGGAGGTGCAGGGTGGATGGCAGGAGTGTCTATTCAATGAAGGGTTATGAGAAAAGGTCAGGAAAGAATGAGGGACAATGAGTGGTCCTCTTCAGTTGGAACAAAGAAATCTGAATTTGTAAGGTAAGGCAGAAAAAGCAGATTAGAAACATTGTGGATTAATATTTGTTAGATTTGTGGCCTAAGAGAATTTTTTTAAGGCCTAACTTTAATTTTTAAAAATAATAAATTTAGTAGCTATCAAAAAACCAATCAAATAAACAAAATAAGGGGCAAATCTTTAATAAAGCAGAGCTTCTGGCAGAAATCAGGCTTAGAATAATAACTGACATCATATCCTTCAATAAACACAAAACATATATGTGACTTGAATATGAAAGGCCATATCATAAAAAATTAAGAAGAACATCAGATCAGATATCTTTTACAGCTCTGGTTAAGGGATAAATTTTTAACCAAATAAGGAATAGAGGCAATCACAAAAAAAAAATAGATGATTTTGATTACATGAAATTAAAAAGTATTAAAAAAATTAACATAACTAGGATAAGATAAGCAGACAACTGGGAATAAAATCTTTGAATCAAATAAGTTTGATAAGGGGCTGATAATAGATATATGGGCAACTTACTGAAATATATCTGACCCAAAGCCATTTTTCATAAGAATTACAATTAATCACCATATGAAAGAATGCTCAGATTCATTAATAATAAGAGAAAGCAAAATAGAAATAACTCTTAGCCAAATTGTGAGGGTATAATAGTAAATACAATAAATATAAATGACACTTTTAAAAGGGGCAGAACCAAAAAAAATGACAAATAATAACAAGCAAGTTTTTGTTCTGTGTCCTCTTATGGGCTTGCCTCTTGTCCTTTGCTCCTGTTTTCCATCCTTCATTCTCTATTTTCTTATCTTTTTCTTTATATAGTTCTAGTCAGTGTTTACGTAGTTCTAGTTTTGCTGATTCTATTTTTATATTATTTTATATGTATTTTATTACCTCATATACAGCTTTCCATATTTTCTTCTAAGCTTCACATTTATTATTTTATGGCACCATAACAGTTCATTATATTAGCATATAATTTATATACCGCTTCTGGTTTTTGCCATCACAAATAGAGTAGTTTTGAATACTTCTTACAGATAGGTCTCTTTTTCCTTTCTACAATTTTTTGGGATAGAGTCCTAGCAATGGGATCGCTGAGTCAAAAAGTATTAGCATTTTTGTGAGACTTGTTGCAAATTGCACTACATAATATTAAAACCATTCGGCAGACCCACTAACAAATGCAGTGATGTCGCTTTCTGGATAGCCCCAACATTAGATTTTTATCATTTTTTGCTGTTGTGGTCATTCTAGTGGTAGTATGATGGTATCTTAAGTTTCTATTGATTTGAATTTCTCTGATTATTAGTTAATTTGAGCCTCCCTTCATGTAATTATTGTCAGTATGTGCTTCCTCCTAGAAGCCAAGAGCCCAGGGAACAGAAATACCTCAGAGAAAGACAGCCCTGCTTCTACATTGGTACTTCTAGTCATCATCTAGGGAAGATACAATCTCTCAATCGTCTTTGGGGGTGTTACAACCCCTGTTGAAGACTGGGGGAAAAAAGTTCTTGCCATTAAGTCTTTGGCACTGTCAAATGATTCAACTTCAGAAACAAATGTTTTTTATAAATCAAAATGACATTTTAAAAAGATGTATTACCATCTGCTTTGTTAAACCTAAGGACACAGGTTTAACATAGGGCCTTTCCAACTGACTCACAGCCGAAACTTCTTATATCTGTCTTCCCTATTAAAATGTGAACTCTTTGAGGGAAGGGACTGTCTTGCTTTTCTATCTATATGCCCAGCATTTAGCACAATGCTTCGTACATGATAAGATCTTGTTAAATTCTATTTCATTCATTCAGAAACTGTTCACGTGCTTTGATTGCTTCACTGGAGAGTATGCATTATTAGCCTTATATATAAATTCTTTATAGATTGTGGATATCAGACCTTTATTATATATACTTACTGCCTATTTCCCCCAAATGATTTTTATTCTTTTAATTTTAAAGATATTGCTTTTGTTGTGCAAAATCTTGTGAACTTTATATAATTAAACCTAATGATTTTTTTCAAACCTCACTTTTTGAAGCAATTCATGTTTTTATGAAGCATTGGTGCCAACAGAGTATGTTTATTGAAACAAACTGATTTAAATAATAAAGGCTATGGATAATTATGTTTTTCTTGCTTTCTCTATATGATACAAATAGAACACTGGCCCTAGAGTCAGGAGGCCCTGAGCTCAAATCCAGCCTCGGACACATAACACTTACTAGCTGTGTGACTCTGGGCAAGTCACTTAACCCCAATTTCCTTGCAAAAAAAAAAAAGTAATTCACTTCCACAAGATTTTGAGTTCCAAATTTTCTCCCCATCTCTCCCCTTCCCCCACCCCAAGAAGATGTGCATTACAAATAGCCTATTTTTAAACAGCAAAGTGAAATCTGAATAGGGAAGAAATAAAAATTATTATGAGAAGCTACTATAGACAATTTATGTCAGTAAAATTAAGAATTTAAAATGAAGGGAAGAATAGCTATAAAAATATAAAATATACAAATTAATATAAAATGAAATACAGACCTTAAACAATTTGATTTCAGAACAAGAAATCAAACTAATTGTAAAGAAATTACCAAAGGACGGGGACCCCCCTGGTCCAGATGGATTGACAGGTATATTTTATCAAACTTTAAAGGAACTATTAACACCTATTCTGCACAAATTATTCTCAAAAGTTAAAAAAGAAAATTACCAAATTCCTTTTATGAGTCCTAATATATGAGCTAGGCAAAGACAAAGAAAGAGAACTGTAGACCAATATCATTAATGAATATTTATTTAAAAATTATAAATCCTGGTTTAAAAAAAAAAGACTACCACAATACATCCAAAACAATTTTTTACTCTGACATTTAGAGTGATTTGTGATATCATCAATGTAGGTATACCCTTCATCAATGTAGATCACAGCCCTTCCATGATTTTTCATTATCTGTATTTTCTCACAAATCCTCTTATCTATATTTTTCCATAAATTTCGTAAAGGTCAGCGCAGTGTAACCTTTCCTTTTATTTGTTTCTCAAGGGTTTCAGTACATCACTTAGAATGTGTTTAGGTCATTCTCAACACATGAAATGTAATATTCTATTGGTCATGTATGCATACATGTAAAAATGGCCTAAGTACCATAAACAGAAAATTTTCTGCAGAAAATTAATAAAGATCCAGGCATGGAGGAAGGTATTGGGACATTCCTCTCTTGGTAGGCTGTTTTAAACAGTAAATAACAATATCAGGAGAAAAAGGGCAATTCCTTCTCCTAGTCGCCTATCTAAAATTCAATATTTCTTGCTTCCAAATGCTGGGAAGGTAACAACATTTTAGTGGAGGGTGGGGATGGAGAAGGAGTGGCCTTGAACACCCTGGGCAAAGTAAACCAAGCTCCTCAAGCATCTTGGGCAAAGGAACTGACTTTCACTATCTCCTGGATTTTTCCCTGAAGAGGAGCCTATGCTTTCAGTTTGGACAAACTGCTCTTTCCATAGTGTCCAGTTATGATACTTTATTATGCACTAAGGAGAATGGCTCGAGTGGCTCACATAGTTCCTAAGCACCCCATGGGAGGTTAGGTGGAACTGCCTCAAGGAAAGTCTCTTTAATCATAGAAGAATGGATACAAATCTACTCCATCAATATAATCCCTCTAAAGATTAATCACAATCTGGCCACACTATGTAAAAGCAAAGTTGTATGATTTTATATTTCATGGATATTATTGTATATTCAAAACAGTCCTACAAAAATGGCATGCTGAACTTCGGGCAGCAGCCTGATATATTTTGGACTGTTTGCTTTTTCGTCTTTTCTCCAGCTGTTTTTCATAAAATAAAAATGTTTTCCGTCTATTGATCTCTCTTTTTTAAAAAACTATTTTTTTCCCTTTTTACTTGAATTAGTATTTTGAAGAAAGGTCAGGTTAAGATAAAGGAGGATAGATGAAAACCAGAGGACAAAATCCACATAAAATCAGGGTGGGTAGGGACAAGAAAGGTCAGAGAACATCAGAATGGAAACAGGGCATCAGAAAGGGACAAGGGAGAAAAGGCTAGAAAGTAGCAAAAGAACAAGTGGAGAGAGGAGATAAGGCTAAATCTAGCAAAGGAAGGAAGGAAGCTGAGATAGAAAGCACAGCTGTACTACTTAAACCTCCTTTGCTTTGGAATAGAAGCAAGCATGCAGAGGAACTACATTTCTCTGTCCAGTTAACATTTAATTTCAACTCAACTCCTGCTATTCCAACTTAGTTGGTTGGTTTAGCGCAGACACTCATCATCTCTAACTTGGACTACTGCAATTACCTCCTAATTGGTCTCCCTGCCTCTGTTCCTTTTTCCAGCCCATCCTCAACACCAAAGATAAATTGATATTCCAAAGTACAGATACGACTGTGTCCTTCTCAGCTTAATAAATTCCAGTGGTTCCCCATTTCCTCTAGGATCAAACATAAGTACCTCTGCCTGGCATTTAAAGCTCTTCACAAACACTACTCCTCTTTGTGAACTTTATGGTCCAGCCTAACTAGTCTTCTTGCTGTTCCACACACATGGTACTACTTCTCAAGTCACTGACTGAGAGTCAGGAGTTAGTTATTGTCCTGGCTTTGCCACCACCTAGCTGTGTGATCTTGGACAACTCATTTTTCCCTCTGAATATCAGTTTCAACATCCATAAAACGAGGGGGTTGAACTAGAATTCAGGGGTGGGGAACCTGCGGCCTTCAGGCCGCATGTGGCCTTCTAGATCTTTAAGTGTGGCCTTTTGACTGAGTCTAGTCAAAAGACCAAATCCAATTCCCCACCCCTGACCTAGATGATCTTTAAGGCACTCTTCTCACAACTTGTGGCTCCATAACAAAGACTAATATTCAATGAATTGAGTATTCATAAACATTGAAAACATTACTAATTTCATTTAATCACAGAATAACACAAAGTTGATGTCACTGACTCTGATCATCATCAGAGCATGTGATTTTAACTGTTTTTCTAATATTTATGATAGATTTACCCTGACCCAACCACCACTCCTGTTTAATATTATCTCCCACAATTAACCATCATTTCTCCTCTATTATACATAGGACAGTTTTCTCATGGTCCCCCATATATATGATTCTTACTCTTGATGCTCCTACTGAATCCTTGTTGGGCATATACATCTAGCAACATCCTATTAATTCAAGGCCCATTTCAAGTCAACCTACAACATGAAGACTTCCCAATATCTACAATCACATGACATATATACAAAATAATACAAATTAATTCCAAGAAACAGCAAGAGAACAGTAATAATGAGGAGAAAGAATCAGAAGTGGGTGACAATTGAGAAGTGCTCTGCAGGAAGCTAGAGATTCTAAGGTGGGGAGGGAATGTATTCTAGACCTGGGACTCCACCTAGGCAATAACACATAGGTAGGAAATAGAATTTCATATATGGAGTACTACTAGGAGGCCAGCATAACTTGAATAGAGTAATGTAAGAAGAGTAACATGAAAAAAAGACTGCAAATGAAATCAGGAACCATATTGTGGAGGGCTTAAATGTCAGGCTAAAGATTTTGTATTTTATCCTAAAGACAATAGGGAGATACAGAAAAATTTTGAGTAGGGGAGTGACATGATTAGATCTGTGTTTGAGGAATACCAATTTGATAGTTATGTAAAAGATGGATTAGAGAAATGAGAGACCAAGAGCAAGGATAAGAAGCTATTACTGTAGTCAAAGTGACAAGTGATTAAGATCTGAAGTAAGGCAGAGGCAGTGTGAGTGGAGAGAAGGGGCCGAATGCAAAAGATACTAGACAGGTAGAACTGACAAGACTTAGAAATTGCATATTGGAGTGGAGAAGGGAGAATTAAGAATGGCTGAAAGGTTTTAAATTTGAATGATTGGAAAGATAGTTGTGAACTAAACAGAAATAAGGAAGTTTGGAGGAAGGGTGGGTTTTCAGGAAAATATCATGAGTTCTGCTTTGGACATGTTAAATTTGAGATACCTAGAAGACATACAAGTAGAGATGCTCATCAGGCAATATGGGATTAGAGTTCAGGAGAGACATTTGCTTGGACATATGGATTTGGAAGTCATTTGTGTGAAGCTAATAATTGAACTGATTGGAACTGATGAGATTACTAAGGGAAAAAGCATAAACAGAAGAAAAGGTAGCTCTGAACAGAGCCTTGAGTGACACAAAGGCTTAGTGAGCAAGATGATAAATCAGCAAAAAAAAGACTGACAAGGAATGGTCAAATACAGCAGTCACATGGAAGCCAAAAAAGGACAGAATAAACAGGAGGAGGGGGTGGTCAGCAGTGCCAAAGGCTTCAAATTGGATAAGTAGAATGAAGACTGAGAAAAGGTCATTGGATTTAGCAATTAAGAGATTGTTGGTGAAAAGTCCTGTAGCTGAAATTAGATTTAGACCAGTATCTTTTTCTTTTTCTTTTGCCTTTTGGTAAGACATTCTCAATAGACAAGCAGTGAAAGGATCTGAACAAAATTCTCAAAAGAATTTCAAATTATTAACATATGAAAAAATGCTCTAAATCAACAATAATAAGAGAAATGCAAGTCAAAACAACCCTGAAGTAACAAAAGATGGGAATAATCCATGTTGGAGGTGTTGCAGAAAAACAGATATACTAATGCATAATTGACAGAACTATGAATTAGTCTAAATATTCTAAAAAGCAATTTGGAATTATGCAAAAAAAGCAGGTAAAATGTCCATACCCTTTGACCCAGAGATTCTCCTGTTAAATATATTCTCCAAGAAGGTCAGAGACAAAAAGGAAGGATCCATATAAACCAAAATATTTATAGCTACACTTTTTTTTGTGGTACCAAAGAAACTGAAACAAAGTAGATGCTAATTGATTGGGGAATGGCTAAACAAATTGTGGTACATGAATGTAATCGCAATATTATTGTACTGTAAGAAATGACAAATATGATCAATACAGAGAATCATGAAAAGACTTATATGAACTGATGCAAAATGAATTAAGTAGAGCCAATAAATAACACACTCGATGACTACAACAATGTAAAATAACAAGCCAAACATAAATGAATGTTGCAAAATTCTAAAGAAGATGGTTAGACCCAAAGAAAAGACATGAGAAGACACTTCCATCCACTCCTTTGTAGAGGTGAAGGGGTGTGTGGAGGGTGGGGTGAGGGGTGATTTTATAAGGATGGAACATTGCATATAATATCACATTTTGGGGGGATGTATTGATTGGTTTTGCTGAATTTTTCTATTATTTTTCTTTTTAAATGCTTCTTAATAAAGGATGGCTTTCTAGGAGAGAGAAGAAAAGGAGAGATGTGGGGAAAGGGAAGGGAAGGGAAGGGAAGAAGAATTAATTAAGTACCTACTTATGTGCCATAATCATCTTCAAACAAAAAGCCATGCATCAACTCTCTCTGTACTTTGGTCTTGGTTTGTAGCCTTTTTCCTTCTTTTTTTTTAAATTTATTTTTATTTTCAATATTCACTTCCATAAGCTTTGGAGTTTTAAATTTTCTCCCCCTCCTTCCCCAAGATGGTGTGCAAGCTGATATAGGCTCTACATTATTAAACTATTAAACATATTTTCACATTAGTCATGTTGTAAAGAAGAGGTTTGCAGCCTTTTCAAGTTAAATAGTTTACCATCAGTAAGATAGCTGACCTTGATGCTGTTTTCATCCTTGTTGAAGGTGCCTGACAACATCACGGAAAACATCATGCTAAAAAGCAGAGGAGCAAGCACACACACCTGCACTGGTAACTAGGAAAGCATTAGAGTATTGTCATTCATTCAGAGCCCATGAGAGCATACCATCATGAAACTGATGTATCATACTGACGAACTTCTTCAGGCAACCAAATTTTGCCATGATATTCTGCAAGCCTTCATGACTGACAGCAACAAGGCCTTGGTCAGGTCAATAAACACAGTGTACAAATCTCTGTTCTATTCCTGGCATTTCTCCTGGAATTGTCTGGCAGCAAAGATATCAACCATTTCTCAGCCCTTTCTAAAGCCATGATGGCTCTTAGGCAGATAATTATCTTCTAGGTAAAGAATCAGCTGGTTAAAGAGGACTCTGACAAGAATCTTGCCAGCAGTAACTAAGAGAGAGATTCCCCTGTGATTGTCACAAGACAACTTGTTTCCTTTTCCTTTATAGAGATGGACAATGGAGGCATCCTTGATTTCCCAGGGGATAACTTCCTGTTGCCATACAATCTGGAAGATTTCAGTCAGCTTCTGTATGAGCAGTGGACCCTCTGCTTTGTAGATCTCTGCTGGGATGGATCAGTGCCAGGCACTTTGCCACTCAAGAGGAGCTTGAAGGCATTCAATACTTCTTCTTCAGTTGGAACTTTGGCTAGAGAGGGATTGACTATATAACCTGAGGCATGTAGTCAGTTGCTTCAGTATTGGTTGACGATGATCTGTTGAAAACACTATTGAAAATGTTCAGCCCATCTCTCCAGGATCATGTCCTTACCACTGATCAATGTGGCTCCACCATCAGCAGTGATGGTGCTTGGCCCATAAATAATCCTCAAGGCATTGTAGAAGCACTTCAGATTGTTGCTGTTGACATAAAATTGAATCTCATCTGCTATCTTACTGAGCCAAGAATTCTGCGCCTCTCTAAGCTTTGCCTGTAATTTAATTTTGATGGAGCTAAATACTGCCTTCTTGGAGACAGATGAGCTGTCCTGATGATAAATCCTGTGTTCTCATTTCTCATTTAGCAGCTTCTGAATTTCCCCATCATTTTTGTCAAACCACTCTTGGTGTTTGCAAGTGTTCTGGCCAGATGAGCAAGTGTGGTGCTGTACACAAAGTCTCTGAAAGCTGCCCACTCCTTTTCTGCTCCACTTTTGCTGTGTGCTGACTCAGCTTTCCCTTCAGGTCAGCAATGAACTGTTTTTGCTCAGAGAAGTGCTCTAATCTGTTGATAGTTGAGTCTCTTGACAGCCATCTTGCCTTGGGGTCACCACTTTGGTTGAATGTGACGGACAGCTTAGAGAGGATAAGTCTATGACTGGTCCAGCACTCTGTGCCACACATCACCTTCCTCATTCTCACATCCTGCCTGTCTCTTCTCCTTACGGTGATGTAGTGTATTAAATGCCAGTGCTTGCTGCAAAGGTCCATCCACAATGTTTTTTGTGGTTAGGTCTCAGTGTAGCCTCTGAGGATGAAATGCAACAGAGTATGGATCAATTCTTTGCTACTTGTGCTAATTTTGGTTTGACAATCAATACCAAGAGAACAAAAGTTCTCCATCAGCCAGCACCACACCATCCATATGAACCACTGGTCACAGTAAATGGAAAAATATTGAATGCTGTGGATCAGTTCATTTTCCTTGGCAGTATACTTTCCAGGGCTGTCCACATGGATGATGAGGTTGATGCACACATTGCCAGAACTAGCTCAGCATCTCGAAGGCTTCTAAAGAAAATGTGGGAGAGATGAGGTATTAGGCTGTATACCAAATTGAAGGTCTACAGAACCACTGTGCTGACTTCACAGTTGTATGCCTACGAAACCTAGACAGTCTATCTGCCAAGCCAGAAAACTGAACCACTTCCATCTGAATTACTCTAGGAAGATTCTGAAGATTACCTGGCAAGATAAGGTGCCAACCAGAGAAAGTACTAAGGTCCTCTCTACTGCAGGCAGTGCAACTCCAATAGGCTGGCCACGTAGCCTGAATGCCAAATGCATACTTAACTAAAAGACTATCTTATGGAGAACCCACACAAGGCAAGTACTCATACAGTGGTCAGAAGAAGCAGTACAAAGATACTCTAAAAGTCTTTCTGAAAAGCTTTAGCATCATTTGTGATATATGGGAGATGCTAGCACTGAACCACCTAGCACGGGTGCCCAAATCAAAGGACGCCCTATACTCTCTGAGCAAAGCAGAATCCCAGTAGCACAAAGGAAAAGTAAACTGTGAAAATCCAGAGACATATCCATCCCAAATGTTCTAACAGACTACTTGTGCCTGACTTGTGGTGGAGTCTTCTGACTCAGACTTATCAGCCACAGCCAAACATACTAATCCCTCACCCTAACACTGTGATATCACTGGTCATCTTCAAAAATGGAGGACAAACAAAAATTTATGTGCCAGGCACTATGCTAAGCACTTCCCAAACAAAAATCTCCTTTGATCCCTCACAAACATTGGGTGAGGTAGGTGTCATTATAATTCTCATTTTACAACTGAGGCATACAGTGGATAAGTGACTTGTCTGGAGTCATACAGCTAATGAGTATCTGAGAGTAGATTTGGCACTCATTAGCTTAAGTCTTGCTGACCTCAGGCCTAGCCATCTCTCCAATGAGCCACCTGAATGACTCCAGGGGGAAATCTAGATGATGTTAAAAACAAAATACATCAGTAAAAATATATTTTTTTAAAAAAGGATTATTGGTAACAGGGTTCTAGTTGTGTGGTGGAGTTAAAAGCTAAGTTTGAAGGGATTGAGAATTGAATAAGAGGTGAGGAAATGTAGTCCATGAATATATGCAAACCCTTTCTTAGAATTTTTACTTGAAATGGAGAAGAAGCAACAAAGGATGGCAGCTTCAGAAAACAGCAAGGTTGAGTGACTATTCTTTAAGGATAAAGGAGATATGAATAAGGGCTTTTTTTGTTTTGTTTTGAGGGTTTTTTTTGCTTTTTGGTGAGGCAATCGGGGTTAAGTAACTAGCCCAGGGTCACACAGCTAGTTAAGTGCCAAGTGTCTGAGGCCAGATTTGCACTCAGGTCCTCCTGACTCCAAAGCTGGAGCTCTATGCACTACACCACCTAGCTGCCCCTGGACAAGTTTTTAAGAAGCCAGTGGATAAGGAGAATCTTAAGATGAGAGAAAGAGAAGGAACGAAGGAGGAACAGATTCCTGGGAGAAACAGAAAAGTATGGTATCTGAAAAAGCACAAGTGGAGGCTACAAGGGCCACCATTCCATTAGAGACTGGAGCAAAGGAGGAGAGAATAGGTGATGATTAACAGAGGTGCTGAGAATTCCAGCCCTGACACTAATGCATTGTTGGTGGAGTTGTGAACTGATCCAACCATTCTGGAGAGCAATTTGGAACTATGCGCTAAGGGCAATCAAACCCTTTGATCCAGCAATACCACTATTAGGTCTGTATCCCAAAGAGCTTTTAAAAAGGGGGAGAAAGCACTGGCCCTGGAGTCAGGAGGACCTGAGTTCAAATCTGGCCTCAGACACATAACCCTCACTAGCTGTGTGACTCTGGGCAAGTCACTTAACCCCAAATTACCTTACCAAAAAAAAAAGGTGGGGGGGAAGGGCCTCCTTGTACAAAAATATTTACAGCAGCTCTTTTTATGGTGGCAAAGAATTGGAAATTGAGGGGATGCCCATCAGCTGGGGAATGGCTGAACAAGTTGTGGTATATGAATGTAATAGAACACTATTGTGCTATAAGAAATGACGAGCAGGAGGATTTCAGGAAAACCTGGACTTACATGAACTGATATAAAGTGAAGTGAGTAGAACCAAGTGAACATTGTACACAGTAACGGCAATATTGTATGATGATCAACTGTGAATGACTTATCTCTTCTCAGCAACATAATAAGCCAAGAAAATTCCAAAGGACTCCTGAGCAAAAATGCTCTCCACCTCCAGAGAAAGTTGAGACTGGATGACAAATTTTTAGTGAATTCAATCAGCATGACTTCATGACATGCTCCAACACTATTTAGTAGTACATAAGTAGAAACAGTGAAGAAGGTTGATAGGAATAACCTAGGGCTAAAGGTTTGATTGGCAAGAGGACAAAGGATTCAAGGGTAATTTAGAGTACACAAATTGGTATATGGTTTTAGCAGCATCCCTATAAATTTTGATATGTAGTATTTGTGGTATTATCTGTAAGGCAATCTGCTTTTTAATATATATATATATATATATATGTATATACATATATATATATATACACACACATACATATAATTTCTTCTTTAAATCCTGCAGTATTCAATTAGCCATTTTAAAAAAGTCCATATAGACCAATAGCTTTTGACCACATTATTAAGATTTACTTCTAAGTTTAACATACTATGCTCAAAAACTGAAGTATTTAAAATTCCTGCCTTATTAAATTTACCTAGAGCTTCTCTATGACTAAAATATGATGAATTTTTTGGAACCTTCTATGTGTACATGAAAAAAATTATATATTCCTAATTTCCCCTATATATTCTCTGTGGGTATTAAATCCAATTTATTCAATGTTTCATTCAATCATGTAATTTCCTATATTAATCTTTTTTTTATTTACCATATTTTAGAATGTTGAAATATCCTGCTATGATTAATTTTCTATTTCTCTTCTTGAAAGATGGAGTTTTTCTTTATTAATTTAGCTGCTCTATGATTTGATTCATATATATTCAAAACCCATATTGTCTTGTATTTCATAGCACCTTTCAGCAGGTTATCATTTTTTTTCTTTCTCTCAATACTTTCTGGATTGAATTGAATCACAACTCCAAATTTTTTGGAGCTAACCATTTGATTCACATTTTGTATATTTTGTTAGAAGACAACTCAAATTTTATTATTTTATAATTCTTATCCCAAACTTACTAAAAGAATACTAAACAGAATTTTTATATTTTATGCAATTAACTATTTCTTAAAACTCTGCACCTCCCCACTATGTAGTATTAGAAGTTTCACCCTGTGATAGCCTCATTCTAGCCAATGCCCCATTCATCTATCTTTTATTTTTAACCTGTGGTTTAGAATATAGCTTCAGATATTTTTTCTTTTTAATTAATTTTTTAAATTACAAGACCAACTGTATCATTCTGTAATGTAATTGATACAATACTGTAGTTCTTTTTCTCCTATAATCTATAGATGCATGTTTGTGAGATAGTGAGGTTACAAACTTATTTGTAACAAAGAACACATGACAGGTAACAATGGGAGATAATATTAAACAGTAAGATGTCTGAGAAGGACCTCACCATTCACAGAGAAAGCATCTTCAACTTGGACTTTGCACTGGATTTTCTTCATCACAGTGGCAAATGACTTTGGGAAGCACACACAAAGATTTTATACCTTACTTGATGATAATGATGAGAGGATCATTGGACAAGACTATTTCTATTGTTTTATCTTTCAAGAAAGCTTGAATGATTTTGATTTATGGATGGAAGACATCTTGTTAGAAGAAGGCTCTTGAGGCAGTGTTAACATACCAAATCAAATGCTTTTTCATAACCAAAAAAAGAAAAAAATACACAATGGGATTTTATCTTCTCCACATCTTTCAGTCAACTGTAAAATGGTAAATTTGTGGTTCACTGTTGAACAAAGATTGCAAAAACGTGCTTGTTCCCTACTAATAACCTTATCAAGAATGCCCACAAACCATGCATATATGACTCACATAAAGCTTTAATATAGATGGAAAGGTAAAAATATAAGTAGGTAGATGTTGATATTTTGTCTTGGTTGGTTTTTTAAAAAAATATTAGTAAGGTTTAAGATTTTTTTTTTCTACGCCTTTGGTTAAGTCCTCTTCCTTCAGATACCTTACATAAAGAGCCTTCAGGGCTCTCACAACTGTGTCTTCTCTAGTATAGATCTTTCTATATATTGATTCAATCCAGCAACTTTTCCCGTCTTTGTTCTCTTTAGCAATATATCAACTTCTTTTATAAATACTTAGAGGACTGTGATATAAGGGTCCAAGTGTAGTGATCCCATTATCCTTGTGTTAAAAACAGTGAATTACAGTAATCTTTACAAATCTTTTCCATTTTCCTCTACTTACAGTCCTCCTTACATTTTCATGTTTAATTGTCCTTGGGATGACCTAGTTGGATCTCTTGCTAATCTTTCTTTAAATTGGTTTTGCCCTCCCATCACTCTGATTTGAACTGATACTGATCAAAACTGTCCTTCTTTGTAAGATTTTACAAATGAGTTTACATTGTAAACAGTTATATCAATCAACATTTATTGTACCTACTATGTATCAAAACACTCTGCTTTCATTGAATGACCAATAATGGTCCCCAGTCCAAGCCTCTGTGGCTCACTGTTTAGATTTTGATGGCTTAGAATGAGTGTAAATAGCAATTGTTTTCTGTGCAGACTATAAACTCTGAAGGTCTTCCCCTCCCAGA